CACTTTTTTAAATGATCTCTATCTCCTGAAACCAGGAGATACAGATTTGAGATATTTGAGATCAATGAGATAATGTTTTTTATTTTTTTTAAAGCATCTAGCACAGTGCCTAGCACATAGGCATTATATAAATGTTTAGTCCCTTCTCCTCTCCTTCCCTTCCTGAGTTATTACAGTCAAATCTTCTTCTATAGGGGGAATTAGAGAAATCAAATTTATAAGGAGAGTTACCAAGAATATAAGAAAAAATTAACTTTCCTTCAGCTGTGTGACAGTTTTAAGACAGAACTTACCTTACTAGTTTATGATGTGGGCTTATAAGCTGTTGTAAACAAGACCCTCACTACACTCTTGGGGCTCCTGTTCAGAAATGGGACAGCATAGGAGGAAACAGGGTGCGGTGTTGTAATCCCTGAGGTGACTCTGTCTCAGTATAAGATCTTTCATTATAGCTCCTTTTCCTTGCCTCTAGCAGAAAAGTAGTACTTCTGATTTACAGCCTGCCTTCCAAGTATAAATATTATTGTTCTATTTTGCAGATAGGAGATCTAAGTTAAATAGAGTTGAATTCATTCAATATCACATAAATCATTGCCAAAACTAAGACTAGAACTTAGGGCTCCAGACTCCCCATCTGATTCTTTCCCACTGGAGAGCTTTGCTTCCCCTATTTATGTTGCTCTATCCAATCAGAGAATAAAGTGGTCAGATATTGTTATATGGGAGGATAAAATTGAACAGAGGTAAATAGAGAATAGCTTATTTTGTGGAGGAAAAATAAACAGCATAATGGCAACATAATTTAGAGTAGAACTATCTTTCTATGAGCATGGCAGGAGCTGCCCCAAAAGCAAATAGAAGTACATTCAAGAACTGTCCAGTAATCTTACCCTTATTGTCAACATTGATCAGCTTTTTACTACAGGACTGTGTCCACGTGAAGGGCATGCAACAGAAGCATGAGAGAACTTGGAGGGGAGCAGGAGGAAGGCAGAAAGCTGATTTGAAATGTTTGATCAATAAATCTGTTGAAAGAAGGCCAGAGGAACTGAACTTATTTACTCAAGAAAAAGTTGAAGAGAGACTAAATAAATAGCATTATTCAAGTATATGAAGGGAGATAAAATAACTAAATAGGCTGAAGCTGCAACAATGTTAGACATTTGGAAGGACTTTCAGACTGTAAGCATTACAGTCTGTAATAACCATACAAAGAAAAGAAAATCACAGTTTACATTTTTTTATAGTAATATGCCCTTTGACTCAATCATTAAATTTCCTTCTGTCTTTATTACCCTCTCTGTTGGTTTATTTGTTTATCGAATTCAGGCCTTCTCTCACCTTTTGGTATTTGAGATTTTCTCTTGTATTCCCTGTTACTCGCCTTTGGGAATCCTCCTCCCTCTTTGAAGTCTTCCCCTTTCCACTACTGTCCAAACTCTTAAGGCTTAGCTGCTAAGTTTCCTCAGCCTCCTCATGTTAGGAAATCCCTGTTCCCTGTTCCCTGAGGCACAGAGCTCTAGTCTCCTCTAACCTGTGACTATTTACCACAGCTTTTCTGACACAATTTTCGTTCTTTTTTTTTTTAATCCAACCCCTTTAATTTTTTAAATTGACTATAACTGGGTTTTTTTTAATCCTGAACTTAAAAATAGAAAAAAAGTGTGTCCATATACAAAGCAGAAACAAAAAGAAAGTTGTATATGTAATTGTGAATCTATATTTCCTACCACTTCCTTTTTTGAAACTATACTATATAATAAATCCAACATTTTACTTTCAAAACTACCCTGCTTGTCTTCATTTCCTTCTGAATTTCCATCTGGACTCCTCTATGCACATTTTTAAATGTTTCTATGACCCTCGTACTTTCCCCCCCTTTTTGGCATCATTGTTGCTACCCCCCTCTCCCCTCCTCCTTTTCCCAATTAAAAACATAGAGAAAAAAAAGAATCCTTGTAACACATAAGCATAATCAAGCAAAACACATCCATATAGTGGCCATGTCCAAAAACATATGACTACTTCCACATCATGAGTCCATCACCTCTCTGTCAAATGAGAAACATGCTTCATCATAGGCCTTCCAGAGATGTGGCTGGTCATTGCTTTGACCAGAGTTCTTAACACTTTTCAGGATTTTTTTTGTTTATAGTGTTGTTGTCATTGTATAAATTGTTCTGCTTCTTCTCACTTCACTCTGTATTATTTAATGTTAACTATGATTCTCTGAAATCATCTCTTTTGTCATTTCTTACTGTGTAATATTCCACTAGATTTGTTCAGACATTCCCTGATGGATGATCACCCCTTAGTTTCCAGGTCTTTGTTTCTTTCTTTCCTTTTTTTTGTTTTTGCTTTTCGTTTCACTCTCCCTTTAATATCAGGAAGTTAGTTATGCTTTCGAATATTCCCTCTCTGTCATTATCTTCCCTCTTAACATCACTCCCCATCCTCATCTGTTGAGTTTCATGTATTTCTGCACCAAACTCGTGTGTGTGTGTGTGTGTGTGTGTGTGTGTGTGT